AATGGGCTGATGGTTCAGTATCGGATTCGGCACCATAAAGAAGGAAATCAGTAAAGTAATTTTCTAATCCCTTAAATGGTTGCTTATCCGCGACCACCGTCTTGACTTTGTTGTTAGTGTCAACATATTTCAGACACTGATGGAGATAGAGGGAACTATAACATTACTGTGGATCCAATAGCGACCTAACAGCAAATTATAAGAAGTCTCGGCATCAATCACATAACAAGTGACTTCTGACTTCAAGTTTCCGAGCTAACACTTCACCCTGATTTTTCCCAATAGCCTAGACCCACTAGTATTGAATCCGTAAATAACGGTTCCTATGAATGCTAGCTTGTTGGAGGGAATCCCAAGGTGGTACAACAACCGAAGTGGCATGATGCTAACAGTGGAACCCGAATCAACTTGGATCCGGTTAACAACGCTTGAGCCAATATATCCAGTGAAATATAAAGGCCTATCATGTTTCAAGTTCTTCACTTACATATCCTCTTTGGTAAAAGCAATGCAAAGAAATTTTTTGGCTGCCAGATTACAATGTTGAACTGATGATTTTGGCTCTTCAGGGGCTAGCTTAATCTGAGTGAGAAATACCTCAGAATCAGCCAAGGCTTCTTGTAAAGCTTCTCTGGTATCTTTTGAAAGGTACAATAACTCATATAGTGTAATCCTTGCTGGGATATTGGCTAACTGAGTCATGACGTCGAAACGGTATGGAGCGTTCGAACTTTCCTGTTTATCTCTTCCAATCGGTCGATCGAAATGAGACTACTTTGAAATTTGAACTTATTTATGTTGGGGTTCTTTCTCTTTTTTTTAGCTGCCTTTTGAGATTTTTCGGTTGCTACGGGCGGAGTTGTAACTACCCCCAGCTCTGTCAAGGTTTTAGAAGGTGCGGCTTTTATCACCCCCTGCTCAGCTAGTTGCTCAGATGCACTTGGGTAATTAAAGCGGTATTCATTTCTACTCCTAGTAGCAAAAGATTCTTGCTCCTCCATAGAAAACGGTAGAGCTGGGATTTCTTCATCATTTTCTTCAGAAATTTCTAAGGCTTCGAAACAGGATTTCTCTTTTCCTTTGCCCTTCAATTTCTTCTTAGACGTGGATGTCGTCCACTATTCATATTCAAGCAAATCAGGATGAACCCAAAGGATTTTGCCATTTGGGGCCATATGTGCCACAAGTCCCTTTTGGCGCTATCCATGAGGGTCATCATTGACGATTTGTATTTTAACCTTTGATACAGGTTCGGGTTGAAACCAGGATAAAGGAATTGAACCGAAGCTAATAGATACTGCATTTGCACCCACTTTCTTCTCCTTTGTCTTTGCAGTGACAATACCTACATCGATTAAGGTTTGTATTTTGTCTTTTAGGACATAACACGCCCTGGTAGGATGATGGACCCTTCTGTGATAGGCACAATATTTTGGGTCATTCGTCTTCTTGGCTTCTTCTTGATTCATGACTGGTGAAAGTTTGATCTTGCTATTGTCCAAAAGATACTTAAATATGACCGGTACTTAATCATCCTTGAAAGAGTATTCTTTCGGGAACCCGGGTTCTGAAGTCTTGGGCTGTCTCGTAGGCTGCTGATTCTAATGTTGTTGTTGTTGTTGTTGCGGTTGTTGTTGGGGCGATTGTTGTGACGTTTGGTGAGCATCAACAGTAGTCGCAAGTCCCTTTCCCCTACCTTGAGAATTAAAATTCTGCTTTTGAGAGTTGGCTAGTGGTTGACCACGCTCTAGCTTCTTCCTCTTGAGGAATCTTTCGGCTTGTTTGCCCCTCACCTTTAATTCTTTCCATGTTTTAGAAGCACATCCCCCATGACTTTTAGAACATCTAATGACAAGTTGTTATGACATGTTTGAAGGATGAACTCCTCAGTGAGTGGATCTCGGCAGTTCCCCTCTTTGTTCCGAAACCGTTTGATGAACATCAACTGACTCCCCATCTTTCTACTTCTCATCCAGCAAAGTGTCAATGGAGACCTCGATATTATCGTCAAAGAAATTGGTAAGAAATAATCCTTCCATATCCTTCCAGCTATTGATACTCCCAGGCTTAAGACGTTGGTACCAATGGAAGGTAGGTCCACGAAGGGTTCCTACGAATGACCGGACTATCAAAGCTTTATTTCCGGATATTTGCGTGAAGATGAGATTTAAAATAAATCAAGTGTTGAGTGGGTGAACCCATGCCATCAAAAGGAGTAAAGTTAATTAGACTAAATTTCGGGGGATAAGGAATCTAGTCCCATTCTCTCGGGTTCAGATATGGGATGCCCGTTTTCTTCACTTCCTGAGCTGTCATCAAAGCATTGACTTTGTTCTCAAGATCTTGCATCTTCTTATCTTCCTCCGTATTCTTCTTCAAATAAATTTGAGAAGGTTGAGTAGACGATTGAACCGGGCCGCTCTCCAAATTGTCTTTATTAGGACAAGAAAATGAGTTCCCTGGTTGGTTTGAAAAAGAAATAAGTTGTTCATACACAATTTTAAATAGTAGTTAGTTATTGTATATGACCACTATGCTAAATTTCTTGTTTCAATTGTTATTCATAGATGATTAAAAAGAGAAAAAACGGATTGATGGATGCAACTGATGAGAAGCTTTATTGTATAGCATGTAAACCACATTTACGTGTTCATACGTACACTAGTTGTATTATGGATGAAGTTCGATATCATACTAAAGATCTTGATGATCATCGAACAACTCAAAATTATGCATGCTTTTATACTATTTTAAGAATATAGGTGAAACTGATATTAGTGTTCTAAAGAGGATTATATTGATTAGGTTGTAATTGAGAAGTTGAATATAATTGAACTGGATATATTTTTTTTTATTTATAGGATCAAATGATAAAGATGCGAGCAGATACCACTCAACCTGATAGAACTCGAACAATGACAGATGAGAAAATTTGTGCTTCAAATCAAGCTACATTAAGGATTGTGGTTTTGGCCCTAGACCACCACCATTAAGGTTCTCTCATTCTTCGATGAGTGAAATGTCTAAAAAGAATAAAGAGTTGTAAGAACATCCTCAAAAGACCCAACAACTTGTAGGAACTCAACAACAAAAGATCGATACGCAAAATGAGGTAATCCAAATATTGGAGGAACAAGCCAAAAAGTTTGAGGAGTTTATGGCTAATTTTTCCAAGCAACATCCATCAGCTTAGTATTCTTAGTGAACTTAAACTTGGAGAGATGTTTCTTTGATCGTGTTGCATTTGTTATTGCTTTAGACTAGCATTGTTACTTATGGTAGAAACTTGCTTGCTTTATTTATTTTAATTGTTTTGATATACTGTGGTGACAATTGATGACAATTATTTATATTTTGAGCGTTTTTCTCGTAATAGTATTATTATTGATGAAATAAAATTTCCTCATTATAAGTTTTCTCGCTATATATTTATGTCGATGAAAGTAAATTTCCTCGAAATAGACAATAAAACTTAAGGTGACGAAAATATGTTTCCTCGCAATAGGTTACATACTTACGTCGTCAAAAGTATAAATTCTTGTTATAGAGTATATAACTTACGTCGTCAAAAGCATATTTCCTCGCTATAGCGGTACAACCTACAACAACGAAAGTAATAATCCTCCCTATAGGCTACATACTTACGTCGTCAAAAGAATATTTCCTCGTTATAGAGTATACTACTTACATGGAAAAACATATATCCTCTCTATAGTGATACAACCTATAACGACAAAAGTAATTTTCCTCGCTATAGACCATATAACCTATATCGATAAATATAAATTTCCTCGAAATTGAATTTCTTTGGCGAGGAATATGGGGTACAACCTACAACGATAAATTTAAATTTTCTCGTATTTGAGTCCATTTAATGAGGAACTTTTTCCACGAGAAAAAGATACATATAATGAAGAAAATCAATTTCCTCGTTAAATATTTACCTTTGGTGAGGAACAGTTTCGTCGCTGAAAGATAATTATAACGACAAAAATAGTTTTTTAGAACTTTTATTATATATAAACTAAATATTATCCACGTATCGTTGGCGAGGAAACTGCAGTTTAGCGATGAAAAAGGTATGAGATTAGGTGAGGAAAAATATCGAGGCTAAAGAGTAATAACGAGAAAAGAATATATTCATCGCAAAAAGGATTTCGCGAGAAATTATAATATTCATCGCAAAAACTTTTCTTGACCACCCAATCGTGAGGAAATGGTGACCAAAGTTTTTTCCTCGCCGACACACTATAGCGAGGAAATCTCGACTTTCAGCGACAAACTTGTTCCTCACGGATTAGTTTTTCTGTTGTAGTGTGTATTGTGTATTGACAATTGTGTAAGATTATAAACGTTTATCGGTGAGCGTTGAAAAACTGATTGTGTAGTAATTTTGAGATAGTGAACATTCTCCTCGAGGGTGAGGAGCGGAGACATAGGTCGTGGGTCGACCGAACTCTGTGATCATTTGCTTTGTGTTTGTGTTTGTCATTAACGCACTATCTCTCTTATATCTTGTGTTCATGTTTATATCGCCCATCTTTTAATTCTATATGCTTGCATTCATCACTTTATACATTATATTGCTAGGATATCATTAGTAAAGTTTTAATTTGGCATTAATATCGGATTAGATTAGTAAATACCATATTCACCCTCTTTAGGGTACTTTCAATATATTCACATATCAACTACTTTCTTCTCTTTTCAAATTGAAGCAAACTAATTCTTTAGGGTACTTTCAATATATTCACATATCAACTACTTTCTTCTCTTTTCAAATTGAAGCAAACTAATGAAAGTGACGGAAAGTAATTATTCTCCATATCAACTACTTTCTTCTCTTTTCAAATTGAAGCAAACTAATGAAAGTGACGGAAAGTAATTATTCTCCATATTTTTTGACGAAACAAACACGAAAAGTGCATTTTCATGAAAGTGAGGGAAACACGAAAAAGTAATGGGAAATTATTTTTAGAATGTGATGAAAAGCAACCAAACAGCCCCTAAAAGAGTTCTTAAAAAATGAGGAAAAACCCCATACAAACTCAACAAGCATGAGCTCTAACACTACTTTCTGCGAGTGTGGAGTCCCACGAACCAACTCGCATTAAGCTAATTAATCTGCTTTGATGCATATTTAACAATTTGTCTATCTAAATGTTCTCCAATATAGGACTAAATTTCACCCCATATAACAGCAAGTAAGGACCCTAAATATTGGATCTTACATCTTATAGTACACAACTTACACAGTAGGCTATAATTTTGTGTCACTCTTCATCAAACTCGGCAGGCGCAACTTGACGTTGATGATGCACCTTTTGCCTCCCGGCCGTCTGCCCTTTTCCACCAGCACCAAACCTTGTCTGCTGCTGCACCACCAGCGTTGACACCCTCCCTCCGAAATCTGTGGATGCCAGCAAATCCCCAACGACCCCGAGCTCGGGATACTCGTTCCACGCTGACAACCCCTCCGTCAACCTCGACTCCTTCCCCTCCCTCCGCCCGACTATCAGCAAACTAAACTGACTACTCATCGCCCGTATCACCCCCACTGTCCCCTCCCCGTCGATCACCACCTCCTCCCTATAAACCACCCGGTTGTCATCCACCATTCTTCTCCTAAACTCATCCACAATTGCATCGTCGAGCTTCATCTCCATCCCGCTATCTCTCAACTCCTTCGGCGGCCGGAACCTCACCAGCGTCAGCCCAACTGTATCGTTCTCCGCTATCCTCATCCCGTATGCCAAGGCCTCCCTGTCATCAGGCCCACCGAAGAAGTACACCGCTACACGGCTCATCGTCGCCGTGCTTAAAGTGGCAAGGACTCCTACCTGGAAAGTATCAATAACAGGTAGGAAACAAGGAGGTCTTAATGCACCATTAGCTATAAAAAGTGTGGATTAGTGTATACGGAGTTTAGCTAGAATCGTGTACACGAGAATTTATCTATTCAACTTTGTATCCATTCATTTTTGTTTGAGATTTGTGAATCAACTTAAGGCTATTTTGAATAGGTGTGCCTTGATGTGTATGGCATGCCAACACAAAATCTCAAAGCGAAATCAATAGATAAAAAGTTTATGGGATAGCTTTTCCTATCCATTTAAGTTGATTCGAGCTCAACTAGACTACATACTATAATCAACATTACCGAGCACGGGGCATAGTGGAGAACGTTGACATTGACGTTCTGGATGTTAGGATTGATGGACTCGATGGTCCCGTCAATAGCAAGGTGCTTGTGGAAAGGGAGGAGGACGAGAGCGGCTTTCTTGTCGAGTGCGAGGGAGCAGACATCGTCGTGCATTGTGGAGTAAGGGGAGAGGCAGACGAAGGGGAGGATGGTGACAGAGTTGTTGGGGTTTTGCTGGGAGAAGTAGTTGAAGGCGTTAACGATGTGGTCGGTCTCGGTGATGAGGTTGGAGCTCTTGTTGCGTTTGTAAGGGGCGAGGATGGCGGCAGCACGGCCTACAAGGTTGGTGAGGTGGAGGACGTAAATGCAGATGGGAGAGGAGGAGGAGGGGTGGGTGGATTCGAGGAGGGAGAGGATGGAGTTGACGTTTTCTTGGTGGTAGATGCAGGCCAGGATGCGGAGCTCGGCGCTGGGTTTTGTGTGCTGGACTGTACGGCGCTTGTAGGCGATGAAGCGGTCCTCAGGGCGGTAGATGTATTTGATGAAGGGAGAGGTGACCCCGCCAAAGATGATGACGGAGAGGATCAAGACGGTGAAAGCTTGGTGAGTGATCATCTGAGGAGCAAAAAAGAACGGTTGTCATGAACTTATATCATAAGTTTTTTTTTGCAAATAATATCAGAAAAATTTTGTTTAAAAAAACAAATATGGCAAACTCCATTCAAATTAGCAGAAAAATCCACGTAGCAGTGGCATAGCTAGAAATTCCAGCTTGACGGGTCGCTTCTATTTCTTATATTAGAAAAATATAAGACTAATGTATCAATAATCACTTTCGATAATATAAAGATTTTTTAAAAGAAAGGACATGTCTCAAATTTGAAAACCCTATTTTATTTTTTTGGTTTTGGTTTTTCTTTTCAAGTAATTCATGCCTCTGACAAAATACAAATGACACTTATTATACTATTTACTCTAAATTATGTAAGACTATTATTATAATATTTACTAAAAGTAATCTAGACTAAATTTGAATTTATTAAAGAAATTACAAAGAGAATTTAGTATTATCATCAAACGAAAAGACTATGAATATATGACAGACATTTTTCTCTATTTTAGAATCTAAAAGTTAAATAAATAGATGAAAATGGAACTTACAATAATCACTATATGTTGATCTCCAAACATTCTCTAATGGGAACTTTTTTTTTCACTTTTATTATTTCACTGCTTCAGAACTTTTAATATATTTTTCCGCACAACAAAGGTACAACATAGTCTTAGACCTAGCGGCAAATCTTTTTATATAAATAATAAAGAAACAATTCAAATCAGAGTAGAGATTTAACAACTGGTCCTCACTTATACATATATTAGCCAAACTTTGCAAGGAATTTAAAAATTGAAAATATATGGTCCCTACAATGTGGCTTGCATAGAAAATTTTGGCTACAGCCAAGGTGCAAATCACTACACTATGGTAATTAGAAGGTGGGGCCAAGGTGCAAATTATTTTTATACTCTAACTTAGAATATTGACACGTGTAAATGTACAAGCAAGTTATATTATAAACTTCTATCTAAATAATACTTGGTCCCGTGCATATCAATTATATTATATTATTTAATGTTTATTTATAGTATTTCGCATGATCAAAATAATAAGAATTTTTTTTAAAAGTATGTACACCTTTTATGACACCTTTGATACATCTAAAAATTATTCTTGTATCCTTCATTACAGGAATGAAATTGAGCTTAAAGTTAATATAACAGTTTATTGATCATTTATGATATGTCACTATCTAGATTACAATGTGTTGCATTTTGATTTTTTTTAAATTATAGGATTTTTAAAATGATCATGTGTGAAATTTTAAATTTGAGAAGAAGATCGATAAATGAAAATAATAGAATTTTCTAGAAAGAGAGGAATGAATTTAAATTTAAACTAGAGAAGAAGGAATTGAAATATGAAATCAATTGGACCTTCTAGAGGGGTGAGGGACGAAGAGATGAAATCCACGCCAATAAGCTATTGGCTAATAACCAAATTGCTCATCATCGTTTACTAAAATGATCTCTTTTCTTTAACAAATTGAAGGAATAGTTACTCATTCCTCACTTTTGCCTAACCTCACAATAAATTTTTATATAGTAATATAGATATTTTTGTGGATCGCATCCTGGATAAGTTTACACAATGCTAAAATTTTATGTGTTCATCCTAAATTGAGTAGCATTTTATTGGGCGTAAATCCATACGTATGAGTTAACTTAAATATTTGGTTGGTCAAGTCATATGATAATTTGACTTAAGTTAGTTTAAACTATAAGTGATTGGGTTGTACTTAAGACTTAATAATTCGTTGAATTGAAGAAGGTTAGTAAGTCATCACCATCTATGTGCCGAGTCCTTGAGAGAAAGGAAACAAAGAAAGAGATGGAGAAGGTAAAGGTCAGCTGAGAAACTCTGTTCAACATTCTATAGCATCTTAGAAATTTGGATCTTATGTGGATATTGTATTTGGAGCATGTGAAATATCTAGCGTTGTCCAAATAGCCCGGCTCGGCCCGGCTTAGCCCGGATTTTCGGGTCCGGGTCGGGAAAAATGTCTAGCCCGGACCCGGACCTAGGGTGCTCGAACTGGGACCGCGTCCAGGTCCAGGCCAAGCCGGGAAGGGCTCTGGGCCATACAGGATCGATTTTTTGTATTTTTTTTAATTTTTTGCTAAAATTTGATTAAAATTTTAGATCAATCTTATTATATTTATATAAGTAAGTATTAGTATATATTTACATATTAGTATATAGTTATATATTATATGTAAGTATATATAAGTATACATTAATGACCAAATCATACTAGTATATATATATTAATGAACAAATATATATTAATGATAATGTACACTTAAAAATATATATAATAGTATATATTTACATATTAGTATATAGTTATATATTATATGTAAGTATATATAAGTATACATTAATGACCAAATCATACTAGTATATATATATTAATGAACAAATATATATTAATGATAATGTACACTTAAAAATATATATAACTTTA